TCTGTTGTCCGGTCTGTCCTTGTAAAAGCCACCCTGTGAAAGCACTTTGGAAATGTTAACACTTTGTTTAACCTCAAAAACCAGAGACGTCTCTCAGAAACTATACACGTGATTTGGTTAATTTAAGACCATTTACTACAAGACAAAAATGTGTATGGTGATGCCTGAATAAAATGCAAGTGTCCCGTCTGTCTGTGTGATGTTTGTTGGTCTCAGGAACGACTGACGCTCATCTGAATCCATCCGTGGGCTCCATGAAGAGCCATTGATTGTGGGTTTTCTTTCAGGTCGGGACGATCGCAGCACAAACGCATCAGATCATCATCCAAACGCTTTCCAGTCGTTAGGCAAGTTCTTCCTGTTGACAGCTTCAGAATGTGACGTGCTTACTCTAAATAGCTGCACTGATCATCTAATGTCGTGCTATAGTTTTAGTTTCTGCGTGCTAGAACAAATATTTCCATAAATGTCTGAGTGTGTCTCTGATAATTAGAGTTTCTGATGTAGCTCATTTACATGTCTTCAATTAATGCTGTTATGTACATTTGTCTCATAAATCATGGGCAGGTCATATTTCACCCCAAAACCAAGAAACTGTAAAGAAAATGGAATTGAAGAATTATTTCTGTTGTTGTTGTTGTAATTCATTATTCAATCCCCTCCTATATTTCAGAAACTACAGCAAAAAATACAGAGAAATGAAATGTATTCGTTCAAGTAATTAGACAGCTGATTAATGAGCATTTAATGGCTCGTCTGAGGCTGTTTGCTGACAGAATCATGTCACGTTTACACACACGCAGCGTTTCAGTCATTTCCATCAGTGCCAGTTTAATTCTATTGTATTTAATACTCTAGCCTTTATCTACAGAAATATAATGTTTGAAGCTATGTCTTGGATGTTGTATGTTATTTAACAGTAATGCTGTGTGTTTTATTCCCCTTCAGTCTTGTTTGTTCAAACAGAAAACCAGAAACCCGATCTTGGGGCGAGCAGATATAAATAGTGTGGTGATCATCTGTGTGAGGGTCTCCTGAGAGCCGCGCCTGTGTTCCTGGACTATTCTAGGGTCCTGTGCGTGTAATCGAACCCTTGGCTCTGGGGTCAGTCGTCCTGAAGGTCTGGAGCAGCATTACATCGTGTCCCATCAGAACTGATTAATGCCAAACGCTTTATTGACATTCTGTTTAAACGCTCTTTATGGGCTTGTGTCGTTTCTATATGTGCTGTGGTAAGAGATGCTGGAAGACACTGATGAAATAAAGCTCTGAGATGTGCAGATTTAGATTAGATTTATTCATTTAGCAGACGCTTTTATCCAAAGCGACTTACAATTGGGAATACATCAAGCGATTCATCTTAAAGAGGCAAATACACACCGGAAGCATTCAAATAAGTACAAGCCAGACAGGGAAAGATTTAAGAAAAGAGGAATTTGTTTTTTTTTAGCCTGAAGTCAAATAGTGCTGAAAGAGATGTTTTCAGTATCCGTGTAGCCGTAGCATACGCTGCATTCAAAATGCAATCACACACTTGATTTATTATACCATACAAAACTGCAGTGGGATTAATTTAACACATTTCTACAATTTTCATCTGCAATATTCAATGCAAAGGTAAAACAAATATTGTTTGCATAAGTTTTTCAGTCAGTATTTTTCGGATGCAGCTTAAGGAGAAGAGTGCGAGAGAACTGCTCCGTCTCGGATCACAGGAGCACATTCTCTCATCAGACTCTGAGGAATCGAAGAATTATTTCTGTTGTTGTTGTTGTAATTCATTATTCAATCCCCTCCTATATTTCAGAAACTACAGCAAAAAATACAGAGAAATGAAATGTATTCGTTCAAGTAATTAGACAGCTGATTAATGAGCATTTAATGGCTCGTCTGAGGCTGTTTGCTGACAGAATCATGTCACGTTTACACACACGCAGCGTTTCAGTCATTTCCATCAGTGCCAGTTTAATTCTATTGTATTTAATACTCTAGCCTTTATCTACAGAAATATAATGTTTGAAGCTATGTCTTGGATGTTGTATGTTATTTAACAGTAATGCTGTGTGTTTTATTCCCCTTCAGTCTTGTTTGTTCAAACAGAAAACCAGAAACCCGATCTTGGGGCGAGCAGATATAAATAGTGTGGTGATCATCTGTGTGAGGGTCTCCTGAGAGCCGCGCCTGTGTTCCTGGACTATTCTAGGGTCCTGTGCGTGTAATCGAACCCTTGGCTCTGGGGTCAGTCGTCCTGAAGGTCTGGAGCAGCATTACATCGTGTCCCATCAGAACTGATTAATGCCAAACGCTTTATTGACATTCTGTTTAAACGCTCTTTATGGGCTTGTGTCGTTTCTATATGTGCTGTGGTAAGAGATGCTGGAAGACACTGATGAAATAAAGCTCTGAGATGTGCAGATTTAGATTAGATTTATTCATTTAGCAGACGCTTTTATCCAAAGCGACTTACAATTGGGAATACATCAAGCGATTCATCTTAAAGAGGCAAATACACACCGGAAGCATTCAAATAAGTACAAGCCAGACAGGGAAAGATTTAAGAAAAGAGGAATTTGTTTTTTTTTAGCCTGAAGTCAAATAGTGCTGAAAGAGATGTTTTCAGTATCCGTGTAGCCGTAGCATACGCTGCATTCAAAATGCAATCACACACTTGATTTATTATACCATACAAAACTGCAGTGGGATTAATTTAACACATTTCTACAATTTTCATCTGCAATATTCAATGCAAAGGTAAAACAAATATTGTTTGCATAAGTTTTTCAGTCAGTATTTTTCGGATGCAGCTTAAGGAGAAGAGTGCGAGAGAACTGCTCCGTCTCGGATCACAGGAGCACATTCTCTCATCAGACTCTGATAAACGCTCAGATGCTGTAGCTGTGGATGGAAAGCACATCTTGTATCTTTGTAATGTGTTTTCATGTCACAATAAAATACAACTTCAGTCTTTCTACTTTAAAAAAAAATCCCCATTTAATTCAATGTTTTGCTTGCCATTTCTTTGTAATTATTTGTGAAATTTACTAGCTATTTCTACTGGCAAAGAAAATTACCAACAAAGTAGTTTTAAAGTAAATTCTAATTTTTTATTTTAATGCCACAACACTGCCTCACCATTAGATGGGTTTCCAGACTGACCTGTGTTTATAAATGAAATCCCTTAAATGCTCACAAGTGATCTTTATTTAACTATTCATGTGAACTGTAGCCCCAGCTGGTTGGTTAGGGTTAGGGATGACGGGTTTGCTGTAAAGACTGCGTTCTTGTCACAAAGAAATGTCTTTTCAATCACCATATAACCTGCTGTAAAGCTGCATGATGCGGTTTGTCCGAGTCTGATCTGGATCCTCTGTAAATGCATCTGCCGGGTCATCTGAGCTCCTCTGTGACCAGCTGGCCTCGGATCGGAGAATAAAAGACAATGGAGCCCATTCTTCGCTCGGATCACAGTCCTGTATTCAGAGCTCGAGTGACATCAGCGGGAGAAGAGTTCCGTGCGCGGCCGCTAGAGGGCGCCACGAGCTCCGTGCTTCTGTTACTGTTCCCTCTGCATCCATCTCAGAAGTCATTTACAATCGAATTCAGTGTAAGAAAATAATCTTTCCATTGTTATTACAGCCCGACATATTTTTTGTGGCATTTTTGCCTTTGCAGTATTTCAGATGGGAAGTGGGTGGGATTGGGAAATGCTCGCGGGACTCGAACTCGGGACAACGGCGCATTACAGCCTGACATTTGACCTCAAACTGATTTTTAGTTGTTTTAGAACGTTTTCCTACATAAAAATGTCATCCACTGGAATACAGTATAAAACAAATGCAAAAGGTAAAAGAAGATATACATCCTTCTAGTTCAAAATGTCATGTTGCATTAAGAGCCGGGGGTGAAAACTTTTTTAATTTGAAGATGTGTACATTTAACTTATTTTGTCTTCTGGGAAACATGTAAGTATCTTCTGTAGGTTCTGAAGGGCAGTGCTAAATGAAGAAAAAATAAAAAAAAGATATTTAGGCAAAATAAGAAAAATGTACACATCTTCCTGTTGGAACGGGTTCAAAAACACAAAAATGCTGGAAAACCAAAGAATGAGCGGGAGCTGAGGGGTTTTTCTGAAGAACAGCAGGCAGTTTAACTGTTCATGGACTCATGAACAACTATCACTAAACAAAAAAACACCGCTGTGGATCATTCAGCTAACAACACAGTATGAAGAAACATCAACTTTTGAACGGGGTCATTTTTATAAATTCAACTATTATTTTCTCTTGTGGGCTATTTGTACACATCTTTTAAGTGAAATATCTTATTCAGGTCAGTAGCTACTAAATAAAAAATAACATGCATTTTGTATGATCCCTCTTATTTTGATGTAAAATAGTTAACATTTTGCAGTAAACTTTTGTCTTCAACTGTATTTCCATATCTTAAAACAGTTTTAACTGTTAATTAATAGAACAGGCAATGTGTTATAAGTTCACAGAGACATTTCCCCCCATGTTTAAAATATCATTTTTGTCATTTGTCAAATTTCTGCCCAGATCCAGTCAATAAATGTAGATCAATGCAACGAATTCTTTTCCTTTAGGGTTCTTCATCGAAAAGCAGCTCGATCTGTCGCGAGACGCTTCATTGTTTCTGGAGGAGCGGACTGAGTGACGTCATCTCCGAGAGGAAGAGGAGGAGGAGGAGGAGGAGGGTACCGAGGAGGAGAGGCTCTGCCTGCGAGCATCAGTGACATCAACGAGCTCAAGACTCTCCGGAGGCTCTGCCTGAGAGCGGAATATGATGCTCGAGTCTCCTTCAAAGGCACCTTCGCGCAGGTAAACGCGGCTCTTTTCGTGTATGTTGAGAAATGATCGCATATGTGCTCAGATTACACCTGCGTCCTCCCGGAGAGCAACCTGCGCTACCTGCGCGCTGCTACTGTGTTCAGAGAGTTATTGATGAGAGGAATAGATGATTTCTCCGAGCGGTTATTGGCTCGTTGCTCGATCGCATCCAGACGCGTTTGCGCCTTTGTCCGGGTTTCGCTCCAGATGCTCGGCTCTCTGTCTCCGGGTTCACATTTCAAACCTACGCCTCGTGCATTTGAAACACTGAGCGGATCCGGCCGATAATTGAAGCGATGTGTGTTTTCTGACCTGCTGAGCGATCATGGCTGATGATAACAGCGAAATATGAAGGAAAATTACTGAGCCGCTTCACTGGGACTCCAGCGAACAAAGCCCGTCTGGCACTGATACACTGATGCAAACCAGCGCGTCTGCTGTAGTCTGGTAACGTTACAAATAACAAATAAAACATAAAATACTACCAGCACAAAGAATATCATTTCTACAATGCATGAGTTTTATATGCAAACACAGACAGAACCTGCTCTTTAATTCAGTTTTAATGAGCTGCTAAAAAAAGCAAACTGTAATTGTGAAGAAATATCTAGAAAAATATTGTGAAAGAAGAACAGTACAATAATATATGAGTGGTTGCCATTCTTGTTCTGTGTTTGTCACACACACACACATTCTCTCTCTCACACACACACACACACATTCTCTCTCTCACACACACA